AGGGTGGGGCTGAGGGTGGGGATGAGGGTGGGGATGAGGGTGGGGATGAGGGTGGGGCCGAGGGTGGGGATGAGGGTGGGGATGAGGGTGGGGATGAGGGTGGGGAAAGAGAAGGAGATGAAGGCTAGGGGACAGGATAGGGGCAGAGGGGAGGCAGTTGCTTACCCCTGCATGGTGGCAGGTCCACCGTAACGATTATGGACTTGTTGTCTCAGCATGTCAATCTCTTGAGCTTTTTCTGCCAGGAGCGCCATGGTGCGGTCTCGTTGCCTGTGAATCTGTTGCTCCATATCGGCTGCGCGTTGCTACAAATCACATCAGAATAATGTCAGGTGTACAGGCTAGTATGTCGTCTCTACTCTCTCATCTCAAATACAAAACAATCTTTCCATATTTAGGGAAGCCTCCTGGCAAAAGCTTACTTGCCAATATTTAAACTGAGAGAAACTTCATTGAAATAATCATTTAAGGAAAGCCAGGAGGAATGGGCCCCGAGCTGAACCAAGAGAGGGCACAAGATTCTCAGCAAAGGAGGCTCCTTTGGTCTGAACTGTACTTTACTGGTTCACAAACAACTAGGAAATCGTGCTTTACTGTCGCATCGCTACCAATAAAATGAACTCTCCCAACCAACATGGCTATTTTCAACCAATGAGGGGGTGCTTCTGCTCAAGGCGGATATCCCTTGAGCCTTTAGACATATAGTTGTGAGCATTCATTTACAAAGTGCAATTGGTATCTTTATCATGGAAGTAATTTTATTTCTGATTACAAAGATAAATCCCTTTGTAGTCAATGGGTGTTATTGAATGGTGAAATCCTTCAATAAGTTGATGATCAACGAGACACAAATGGTGATTTGTGAATATTGATTAACTGATGGATTAAAATTGCATGGCTTCAGATAAACTTGTCCATTGATGATCAATAGATATGGGTAAACTGATTATCTATATTACCGATATTGACACATCAGTTGTGACTTTGTGGTTTTACCTTGTATTCAGATTCAGCCTGGCTTAACGCCGAGCGATGCTGCTCCTTTAGTGTGAAGATCTTATCCTCGTAGTTAGTGACCTGAGTTACAAAAGCATGGACATGACGAATCAACAAACAGCATCACAGAATGCAAGCATGACACAATTTAATCAGGAAAGTATTTGAGAGAAAATTTACTTAAAACGGTGAATAAAAATGGTGTTTTACTTAAAAACGGTGTTTTACTTAAAAACGGTGTTTTACTTACAAACGGTGTTTTACTAAGCTGGAGAATTGCCCATCCAGTTACTATATTTGGGCTGACTCTAAATTCGTTTCTTATTAAAACTTCACAGAGGTCACCACATAACTTTGCCTAACAGCTCCATATGTAAGAACTCTCCCTCCATTTCTTGGGTTAAAAATGTCACAATTTGCACGCTATTGGTTGTTAATGATCAGACGACATCAAATAGTCATGTAACGGCGCCCTCTAGTGTTCACGCCGAGGGGGGGAATGGAAGCACCATGTTATTCCAACCAAATTTAAGTCAGACTCATTTGATTTCGATGAAATTTTCTACCGTTTGTTTGTGGTTAGCTTCTTCGTCATCAAGTTGTTGTCTCAAGACAGAAATGCGATCCCTCATTTCAGTAATTTGGGACTGTAAGGCTTCAATCTCCTTGTTACTGGAGGTGTCCTGAATGGAAAACAAACATTATGAAAAAGGCGAAGATATATCAGGGGATGAATACACTTCTACACTCAGAGAGACAGACAGTCTGACAGATGAACAGACAAAGCACTGACCTTGACTGATTTGTTCTTCAGCACACCCTGCGCTCTCAACTTGTATCGCTCAAACTCATCTTTGAGTTGTTTCAGCTCTTGTTGGCAACTTCGATGGTCGGGGTGGATTTCTAGACTGGTGTGGTCTTCAATATTACAAAGGTCTTCAAGGTGAAAGAAAAAAGAACAGGCAGACGTCAAGAGACAACAGGACAAAGTGGATGTATTATCCATTGGTTTTAAAACCATACCAAGTCCTGTCAACAACATTTCACTTACCGTCGATATCGACAGGTTTCTCCGACTTCTGACTAGCTAGTTTCAGCAGACCTTTTAGCTTCATGATTTTCTCGGTCAGTTCAGACACTGTGGCATCAGGGTTGACAATCTCCTCTGATTGGCTGGTTTGAGCTTTGTTCACTGCCTTAGCGAGGGCGGTGTTTTCCAGGTCTAGTTGTGTGATACGTTCTTTTAGTCTCCTTGTAGGTGGAACAAATTGAAGGGAGAAAAGGATTTCACAAACCGCTGGCAAATTTGTTTCTTCTTCTAGGACGTAAAATCCTTCTTATAAGACATGAAGTCCCTCTTTAATATCCTATGTTAAATACTAACGGAAAGATATCTACCTAAGTTAGAACAAGTTAACATACATCACAGCCTGTTGGCCTTGTTGCTTAACCCTGTCAT